ATTCCACCGTTTTTATCCTGTTTGCTCCAGGTCTGATTCAGCTCCCTGCCTGTGGCCCAGGAAAACAGTGCAGGATCCCCAAAGCCTTGGACTCTACACCCACATGGGAGACCCAGAAGAAGCTCCTGATTCCTGGCCTCAGATTGGTTCAATTCTAGCCAATGTGGCTATATGAGTGAACCAGCAAATGGAAGCACTCTCTTTTTCTATCTCTCTCTCTCAAACTCCATCTTTCAAATTAAAAATAATAAAAAAAAAATAAATAAAATAACTCTTAAAAAAAAAAGGAACATCACAAAAAGCACCGGATTTCACATTTCAAAAACATTTTCTGATTGTTGAATTACACAGCAGCACAACAGGTTTCAGTGGTCCTTTTACCAATGCTTATCATTTCATATTTATTATAAGGCCTCATTAGTTGTACATCTTAGGAGTCCACCATGAATATATGTGTGTCTGTACACACATAAACACATGTGTATATATACACATTAATATTTTAGAATTTAAAAGTTTAAAATCTATGTAAGCATGATAGATGCTTAATAATACATATTTTCAAAAGCAAGTCTATTAGTCTCAGGACCGAATGTTATCAGATTTCAAGAAGCTGGTCAGAGCACCACCATTTTGTAACCAAAAGCTCCTGGTGTATATCTGCTTTTAGACAAGAAAAATCTGCCCCCTCAAGTCAGATTTCCTATAAACATACTAAACATAGAAATCTCTAGTTATTATTAAACATTTCAAATTATGGATAATATTAAAAGAAGCAATAAAGATGGTGAATGTCTTTCATTTATTCTTTTCATTGTTTGACTTTCATATTTCATGTTTTCTAAATATGTAGACAAATTACAAAGATTTTGTCTAATCAATACATCTACTAAAATTGTTTTAGCTGCAAAATTTATTCTAGCAATATAAAAATGAAAGAAAGAAGCACTTGATTTTCATTTGACTTAAGTTTCATAATTGTGATAAATTAGTTCCTTTACTATGAAGATTGAATTTCAGTAAATCACAATTTGATGAAAATTTGCCCCCATGACTTAAAAAACAAAATAAACCAAATAGAAGACAAAAGAACTTTTAAATTCAGAAGTAGTAATTACAGCATCATTTTTACAGGTGAATATTCATCCAGCCTCACTTGGAGGAGGTCTAGACAGAGCAGAAAGAAGTAAATGCAATCAACAGAAACTGTTATGTACTTAATATTAATGCACACTTTACGTATGACCCAGCATCTATAAACTATATACCTGTATACACAATGTATACACATATATAATAGTGCTGTATATACACACACCGTTGCCCAATGACACACATGTTATTGCTCTGCTTGCTTTTAAAAGGCCTATTACGTATTAAACAGAACACACGTACAATGACTTTGATGATATAATTTATGTCCTGTTCACCTGAAACTTCAAACGTAAGGATTTGGAGCTAAATTATAAATGCATAAATTCAAATTAAAGAAGCTCAAACAATAAAAGAGGAAGGGTCCTTTAATTACCATTTCCTCTCACATTATCGTGAAGTCAGACACACACGCTCCTGTGGGAAGCATCTCCTATGTTGTTTGTCATAACCGTTTCACCAGAGTGCAGCCTGTGTCGGCTCAGACACCATGAGCCCAAAAATCATGGGACCACACACATGAGTCATTTTCACTAAATGAATAAAAACACGTCTCCGTGGTTAAAGAAGAGTCCTTTTGGTCTTTGTCACAATGTGATTTTTCATAATTCTAAACACATTCTTTTCAGATACCAAGGGTGTAGAAAAACATTCACAAATAAATTAAATTAAAAAAGCCTTTCAAATTGTGTCATAAGATTTACTTTGTGAGTCTCTCTCTCTCTGAAAATTTTACTAAAAATAAGGGGTTCATCATTCTGACTTCTTAAGTATTTTGCAATTAGTTGAAATAATATATCGTTCTAAATAAAAAATATAAAACTATACACATAAATAATAGCATATATGATACATAACATGTTAAACTATTAGGCTTCAGCTAAAGCGTTGGATCTTTTTATCTTCTTTTCCACTAACCATGTCATAGATGAAGGGACATTACAACAAGTTGATTATCTCCAATGTTATTACTATAATCGATAACAAAAATAAGTGAGTAGTGGTGAATATATATAAGAACTGGTACTGCTTCAATCAAAATGATCATCACCGTGAAGTTAGTTAATTAGTGCGCTATTTTCTTCCAACAAATAAATAGTTCAATGTAGCAAAACTTCAAACAGATCCTAATCATAGTACCTGTATTGATATCCATGATGGTTCATGAAAACTTACATGGCATTCTAACTGAAAACTAACTTGAGGAATTTTAATGCACAGGTGAAATAACTGGCTTGAACGCAGGATAACAAACTCCATGGAAGGAAAAAAAAAATCTTCTTGAATACAAAATTTCACTCTCATATAAATTTATTTCCATTAAATAAATAAATTTATTCCTTATTCAAGGGAAAAATTACTAGCTTTATTTAAGACAAAACAGTCTTACTCTCCGTATTTAATAAATAAACTTAAGCATTATAATGACCAAGTTTTGTTGTAATGTACTATGTCTTCTGGAAACTTTTTTTCCAGTGTTGAAAGCACCAAGGGCAGTCTTCAAGGGATTGCACTTTAAGCCGATCGGAGTGAAATGCCATCTTAGGATGTGTGCGTGTTAGGAAAATGATGATAGTGGGAGCAGTGTCTAGTTCTACATTGTATTTGCACTGTACACATGCGGCCACGCATTCACTAAGATGTCTGAATGGAAGAAATGAAATGTGACACATTGACAGATTCCATTATTCAGGCTCCCTAATTTTTAGAGAACAGTGCTGAACTTCTGTGCCCCACCAAAAGAATTTGGTGAAACAGGGAGAGATGATTGGTAATGTTAAGGAAGGTGCAATAGTCGATGAAGAAAAGGTGATTTATGAGAAAATGAACACAAGAAGCAATATGAGAAAAAAGAAAAACACAATGGCACCTGTTTTATAGTGGAGCAAACTCCTGGCTTCAGAAAAGCATCACTCAAATACTGTACAAAAAAAAAAAAAAAAAAAAAAAAAAAGCAAAAGTGACCATTCTCATGGAGGCTTTTCTTTTTTCTGAAATCATTTCAAGATACATTTAAAATCATTGAGGGCAAAGTTGCAGATACAATGTGTCAGCAAGGGAGTTAGCTTAGATTTTTAAATTGTTAGGCTGAGCTTTTGTTATTGTTGCTATTGTTAATTCAAACATACATATTGGTGCTTACATGCCACTCTCCACATAACACTCTCAGCATTTATATGTCTGTGTGTTCATCGACACATTTACAGGACCTTTCATTGTACAGTGCTTTAGTGAATCAGCCATAGAACACTTAGATGCTGCCAATCTAGTTCGTTGTGGGAAAGAAATGCTGTGACGTCAGGCACCAGCAACACTCTGACTACCTTCAACACGCTGTGCTCATTCCCCTCAGGGCAGATGGAGCAACTGCTGGTGCAGAATCCCAGCAGCCTCCCCTGCTCTGCAGCGCCCGGTCTGCGCATCCCTGAAGTTCTGCTGCCCTCTTCTGGCTTAACGCATGCCTGACACAAAACACAGGGTTCTTTGTAACAAATAACGGTTTTCTTTGGTTTTGCTCACATGGAAATAGATGAGAAATTGGATTATTATCAGATTGATTTTGCAACATAACTTTAGTGCCATACAAAAAGGAAACCTCTCTGCCCTCACACCAAACCTCATTCTGGGCCCAGTGGAAGAGAGTAACTAGGGAAAACATGTAGCCAAATAGCTCTGACATCTCCTACATTTAACAGGGTCAGCGTTCTGGCAGCAAAGCTGGCTCCACGAGCTTGGGTTCTGATCGGGTGCTGTGGGTGTCTGTGGGTGAGGTGGGGTAAGAGTGTGCGTGTGTGATTTTAGAGCCTTGCTCTACATAACAGCAATTTAACTGCCTTTCCCTTCTGGTCCATTTACTCCTTTCAAATGCATGACTCTTTGACTCCATTCTCCTAATTAATCCTGTACTTTTTAGCAATCTAATTAATTCTTTCCCAATTGCATCCTGTCCCCTAAATGATGCATCACTGGGATACTGTTTGAAATTCACCATCCAAGAAAAAGAAGTGAAGTGTAAGTCCGATTTCATTAGGCCCTAATTGTGTCCTAGCATGGGGTGGGGATAATGGGTTATGAGACTTATCAACATCACAGTGTATCAAACCTGTTAATAAATTAGCTTTCTGTATAACAAATAAAAGAAATACATATTTTTAAGATGGGAGCACGAAAGGCATGGCATAGCTGGAGTTTAAGGTTCAAGCTTTGTATCCTCTATATATAATGTATTATGTTTTTCAAAAATTTTTTTTATTAGGAAAGCTATACCAGACGCATAATCACTATACAATGATTAAACATTACCTTTACAATTTATAATCACTGAAATTACAGAATAAATATATGCACATTTCTTTCGAATCTTTGAGTGTGAGAGAGAAAACATTGAAAGTGCTTCCTACAAAGCTGTTAGTGATATATACCGAGTTGCTTTTTAATTTTTTAATATTATATATACTTATATATATAAGAAAGTGCAGATGTTCTCCAAAAAGTCTTGGCGTCAGGAGGAATTGTCACAAAGAGGGCGCTCGTCCCTGTGTGTGTGTCTCTGGCTGTCAGACCACCAGGCTTTCGCTTCTGAAGGAGCCAGCCTCGCGTGTGACGCTTCCAGTGTGGGAGGAGAGATGCTGTGAACTGTACACTACGGATGAAGGGCAGGTGGAACTATGGAAAGAAACAAAAGAATCAAATCGAAACTAAGGAGATTGAGTTGGGGTGCATGGGAGTGGTGTGCGTGTGTGTGCGTGTGTGTGTGTACGCACACCCGTAAGAGCAAGGAGGACTTTACTATGCAGGCTGAGTATGTAAGTACGCTTATGTGCATGACAGACAAGAGTGAGAGTGAGAACATTCGAGCAAGACCCGCCCCCTCCCTCCCCATCTTGCGGTTTCCAGGCATGCGCAAACTGCATCGTTAATACATGTACAGAAACTGTGCCATGACTGGAAGAGGAAAGAAAGCCACAAGTATCTATTTGTTCCCCCCCCCTCCCTTTTGAACAAAACTATAACTAAAGAAAAAAAAAAGGTTACTGAAAATAAAAGACACTTGAATTTTTCTGAATTAGGATCAATACAACGATCCCCAGTATACCTTATACATGGCACAGTCAAAGTCTCAAGTTTCAGTGTAAAAAAATAATGATAACATTTGCTGGCAAAAGTCTGCGAAGGCACTTCATTGATTAATGGTCTGAGTGTGGCTCTTCCTCCAGAACCCTTCTGCGAGAGGAGAGCAGACATCTGTATCGCGAGTTGTGATGCCATGTCAGTCCTGTGACCGGCAGAGAGAGTGAGGATGGAGTTATCGGGACCAATGGCAAGGGAGGAAGGGGCAGATTTCTTTTATTTTCCTTTTCTTTTCAAAAGCAAAACAAAACAAAACCAAAAACCAAAACACTGATTTATTTTCAGCTTTCTGTCAGAACCTGTATGTCGTCTTCTCCAGGACTTCGAGGTAATCCGGCTTGGTTTGAAGTTTGGCCCTTAACTCGAGGTAATCACTTTTGGGGGTTTGGTGGTCTGTGAAGCCCTTTCCAGCTGAGAACAGAAGGGTTTCTTTCAGCCTGGCATCCTGCTGTAAGTCTGGGTATTGCATGCCAGGAGGGTGGACATGCAGTTCCTTTAACTTGGGCACTGTGCCGTAAAGGCAGTCCACGAATCCCACCGTGCATGGGGCCGGCTGGGGCCTGTCTCGGTCTAGTAGCATAGTGCCACCAGCACAGCCTCCCCCTGGAGGAAACAGCACCACCCCGCCATTCTTCTCACGGTGACGGAACCCAGCCAAGTCTCCCCCGGACCCCCCAACTACCCCGGAAACACCGCCCACTGCTGGGTGGTGAGGATGGTGGTGGTGGTTGACCGTCACTATGGTGCTGAGCTGGCAGCCGGACACTGCCAGAGCCCACTCCTTTTCCTTCTCCAGCAAAGTCCGGCAGTTGCCGCGGTTCTCCTCGGGCGTCTCCGTAAACTGCTCACTTCCTAGGACAACCTCGCTCCTTCCAGGCGGTTGTGTCCCAGGACCCCCACGCTCTGCACCCCCTGCTTCCTGGCCTGCCGCAACAGCCACCTCTTCCTCCTCACGGGGCTTGTAGATGGGGTTGTTGCACATCTGGGTAACTGGATGTGGAATGTACTCATACACATGGCCCACGGGAGGAGCCTTCTCTGGGGAGGAGAGAGCTGGCCGGCCTCCACCGCCATTGCCACCGCCACCACCGCTTCCACCTCCACCGTCGTCGAAGAGCCGGTGGCACTGCATCTGTATGCCGGTGAGGTCCACGCCCTCCTGCCGCTTACTTCTGAAGGGCAGCTTCTTCCTTCGGCGGCGGAGCACATAGGCAAAGAGGCCTGCGGCCACAAAGACCGCCGAGAAAAACAAAACCAGCAGGCTGAGAATCAATACGGACAGTGGCACGGGGCCTCCAGGGGGTGAGAACTCATAGGGCGATGCACTTGTTGGGCCCCCAAGGTGGGAGTCTCCAGGCTGGGCCGGGGATGCCCCAGGTGGTGCGACGTGCAGCATTTCTGGGCACAGAACTTCCAGTTCGATAGTGCGCACATCACGGTGGGTGAGGTTGTCAGGGCTCATGCACAGCACATCACCGACCACACTGACCGAGCTGATGGTCTCGATCCACTGTTTAAAGGGGACCAGGTCACACGTGCAATCCCAGGGATTCTCATTGAGGTCTATCTGAACAATGGCGTTCAGGTGTTCCAGGACGCCAGCCACAGGGAGATACAGGAAGTAGTTCTTCCTCAGGTTGAGCCTGGCCAGAGATGTGCCTGCAAAGGCGTCTGTGGGGAGGGTCCGCAGCAGGTTGTTGTTGAGGAAAAGCAGCTTCAAGTTGGGCATGAGGCTGAAGGCTGCAGGCTGGATTTCTCGTATCACATTGAACTCAAAGTACAAGTAGTGCAAACTCTGTAGGCCTCGGAACATGCCTGGTGTCAGCTTCTCTATGTCATTGCCATTGAGAAAGAGGCTCTTTAGGTTGGGCAGGTTTATGAAGGCCCCGTCCTGGACGTAAGAAATGCGGTTGTTTCCCAGATGCAAGAGATCCAAGGAAGAAAAATTCCAAAAATCAGAACGGTATATTTTCTGAATGAGATTGCTACTCAGGTACAGTTTCTTGGCATTCAATGGCCTCGGAAGAAGTTCTGAAATATTATTAAATCCTCTTTCTTTGCAGTTGACAGTCAATCCAAGGTCATTGATGTGCAAATTACAGGTGCACCCTGTAGGACATATAATGGGAATCGGCGGCCTGGTCTGGTAAGGTGCGATAGGAGGTTGGTTTGGACCCGGATACAAAGCTTGAGATGTAGATGGTGGCCTTGGGGTTCGGGGCTGTTTGGTGGGTTTAGGCTGCTTATTTGAGGATTTGTATTCAACAGAAGAAGCAGTAAAATGGACAGAGGACAACATGGAGGAGGGCTTAGTTGGCCATGCGTTCTCCTTATTTGATGTCAAATGGGGGATACCCAAGCTAGCCTCCACCTCAGAGTCAGACAGCAAGGGGCAGAGCTCTGTCTTCCTGATTTCACGAAGGTCCTTCCCATGGAAATGGAAAGGTGTCTCACAAGTGATGTCTCCCACCAGGGCAGTGTAAGGAATGCGCTCCAGCCAACTCTTGAGTTGTACAATCTCACAGGTGCAGTTCCAAGGATTCTCTTCCAGCTGGAGCTCCATGAGACTCCTGCCAATGTGATCCAGCATGCCTCGGTAAAAGAGAACTTTCAGCCTGTTCCCACGCAGGTCCAAGTGCGTTAAAGACACAGCCTTAAACAAGTTCGTGGGAAGCATGGGGATAAGATTATCATTTAAAATGAGAACTCTCAATTTACTTAGGTTCCGAAATGCCCCACTTTCAATACGTTTAATGACATTGTAATCTGCTTGTAGATATTCTAGACTTTCCAAGCCAAGGAAAGTATCATTTCTGAAAACATCTAATTTGTTCTCATGCAGATATAGCCTCTTTAAAATCTTAAGACCATTGAAAGCTCCTGTTTGAATGTCCTGCAATGCATTGTTCCCAAGGTTAATGGACACAGCATTATTTAAATGAAGAAAACTGTTGGTGTATAATTTCCTCATGGAATTCTTCTGCAGATAAAGTTTGAAAGGTCTTGACCAGAACTCTGTAATCTGACTAATATTCGTAAACCCTTTACTGTCACAATGTATATGAAAAAGGCTTTCTTTAACTTCGCAGTAGCATGGATCGAAACAGGGTTCATCTATTTCCTGCGAGTCCTCGATCAGGGGAATCGGGGTAGTCCATCCTAGAGCAAGTGTGCTTAGAAGAATGATCCACAACATTCTCCCTCTGGGAAGCATCTCAGCTACGGACGGGTCCATCATGTGTGGTGGGTTACAAATCTGCAACAGAAATCAAATGCAGATTTTTAGCTTGTAGTCAAGGTTTTAATTGTCTCTTACACGTGAGACTTTCTAAGAGCATTATAAAAATAGAAGCGATTGTGGAACTGGTACTTAAATTCAGCATACTTCATGTTGACAATGTGTCCTATCTTTTAAACATGGGACATAATGAAATATTGAACACAATGATATTTTTCAGACCCATGCTCTATTTGACAAATGGCATATCACATGAACAAAATAAGGTTGCATTTTCTCTTACTAAAAATAATAGGATTGACACAGAATGGTTTGTTCCCTTTAGGTGTAGGCAAATTATCCGGTCATTAAACTTAATTGACTGATAAAACTCATATTGGCATTGTCCATTATGAATATAATTGGAACTTCTTTTGGAAAAACGTGCCTTTCAAAGTACAGGGTTCCAGTGTTAAAGAGAATATGATAAAGATGAGCTTTTAGCTGAACATCAGATGGTGAAGTATGTGAAATGACTGACATCCCAGAAAATTGTCAGATTCCTGGAATTGGTAATCGTGACACATTGAATCACAATGTACGGTCCCTAACACTCCATGTTCTCTTTTGCTTTTGCCCAAGAACGGATCATTGACAACTGCTTCAGTTAGCTCACTTGTATATATTTGCGTCCTTTTTTTCCAATTTAAATCTTCTAGAAGTGACTAGTCCTTACCCTTGTGAAGAATAAGTTTATGCAAGTGACAGAGCTAAAGATAGCGGCAGCTAAAGGATGCTGAAACTGGGAATGTCTGAATTGAAAGTTTTGGAGCTTCATTTGCAATGTGTATGTGTGCCTTCATGAAAGCTAAGAAGCTGGAAGGGCAGGTGCCTAGTAGGGAAGCTAGATCTAAGAGAACGAGATTCAGTTCTTTCAGTTCTAAACTACCACATGTAATATATTTCAGAAGACTTAACTCTCCCCATATGAAGAACCATGCAGTGCACTCCTCTCAACACCAAACCTTTCCCCACGGCATTCATTCCTTGCCTAATGTCATCAGTATATAAAAATGTGCACATAAATAAATTATAAGAATGCAGTTTTACTAGATTAGCCCTATGAGTCACTGAGATATCAATCAAAATTGAATGGTTGATTTTAATCGATAAAAATCAACCAGACGTTTGGGCATACATTTACTGCCTAAGCAGACATACATACCTCAAAGCGGTATTTCACCTGCCCTTTAATTTACCATACAATGATATAATTTTTATGGAAAAAGGAAAAGAATAAACCTTCGCTTTTAACTGGTCTATAATGCACACAGCTGTGAGGAAGGGGGAAACTGCCAGAAAGCAAAGGGAATCTGCCTCAGGCAAGAAAGTCACAGTTTTTAGAAACAATTAACTTCAAATGAGGCTGGAAGGAAACCAGGGGGCCAGGCTCTATTGCCCATCAGTCAGGTTTCCCTTTCTCTGTAAAATATTAAAATCTGCTTCAGCTATTTCCTCTTCACCACTCTTTTCTTAAATGTGTGTGTGTGTGTTGTTTTTTTTTTTTTTTTAATTTCCCTAAGGTTTAGACAAGACAGGCTCCAGATGTTTTTGACTTACCTATTTTGCAGATTTTTTTTTTTTTAGTGCTTAACATTGAAAGAGGGTGGAGCTTCAATATAAATTCTATCTCTTCTCTCTCCCCTCCTCTTGCTGAAACTAAAGCAAAGGGGAAGGGGGCGCGCAGCACAAGCAAGGGGAGGGAAAGCCAGTTGGAGACGTGCAAGGAATGCAATAGGCTCCTCAATGGGCTTTCGGACTGCCGCTTGGCACACTCAATAGGGCAGGGAGGAGATGGGGCCGAAGCGGGCTTCCAGCTCCGCCGTGGCCGCGGTGGTGGTGGCTGTGCACTGGAAGGGCAGGAGGAAGGTACGGGGAAGGAAGGCTCAATCACGGTGCAGAATTTCGGACTTTCTCTTGCTGGATTCCACCCCACCCCCTTAAAAAAAAAAAATAACAGTGTGTGCTGTAACCCTGGATCTGGCTTTCCACGTCACGGACTGAGCTCCAAGCAGGGGGGCGCGCTTAGCATGTGGTCGGGAGCGAGCACTAGGAAGCCCTGACTGTTCCTTAATGTGTGCCTGTGTATGCGGCCGTGTGCTTGTGTGTGCTTGTGTGTGCGTGCGTGCGCTAAAGGACAAGGGAAAAAAAGAAGTGGAAGAGTCTGGAAGACAAATTGACAAAATAAGAAGCAAGAAGGAAGGGAGATGAGACCGACTTAGGAAATGTTCCTTTGGTGGGGAAGAAGAGCTGGGGTAGACATTTTCTTCTTGCTTTTCTCTCTCTCTCTCTCCTCTCTCTCTCTCCCTCCCTCCTTTCTCTGAAGTAAATCGTCCTTGGACTGTTTTGGTGCTTCAGTTCTCACACTCTTCTCTCAAGTACAGATGGTTAAGAAAGTGAGACCATCCCTGACAATTCTTGTGTCCAGAGGTGAAGATGACAGGAATTCCAGGTGCCCCAGGCAGAAGGGCTGAATCTGACTGGTTCCCTCTGAGTGTCCTGAATAAGAGCCCATACAGCCTGAGCACCTGAAACTGAGTTGCCCCTGCATTTTGCTTCGATCCCTTTGCACCAGGAATCTTGCCCCCGTGCTGCAGCTCAAAGCCTTTCATTTGCCCCACTTGAACAGTTCCATGCTATCTTCTACCTTTTTCAAACCAGGAATAAGCTGTTACTCAGAGAGGATATGTAGACCCCTTGGATAAATGACAGCAGGCTGCACTTTGTTCGACCTGGAAAACCCTCAGAGGGCACAAGGCTTAGAATTTCAGAGTTTGGATTTTTTTAAATCCAAATATTTGTCCATGGAATTTTTGGAAAGGATAAGGTAGGCAGCAGAGGGGTGGGTGGAACTGGAAAAAGATGGTGCTGTGTAGAGGGGACACGAAATTTCAGTTGGCAGCAATCCTATAATAGGACTAGTTCAAGTGGAGCTCTACAGTCCTGTCAGGAAGAAATGCATCTGAAGGAAGCTTAAGTGTGCAGAAGAGTGTCTCGTTAGCTGGGATGGTGTGTGGCTCATCCATACCCCCTCACCTCAACACACATCAGTACCATCATCAATTCCCTATGAGAGGAGAGGGGAGGGACTTACTGGTCACCAAAGACCTAGCTGAACCTCAGTTGCCAAAAAGGCTCAGAGTTAGTAGGTAGTCATGGCTTTCACTTGAAGCACTGCTTACAAAACCAACATTTAAAGCAAAATGCAGCTTTTCTATCAGTTTCTTACTGACCACCAAAACACGCATCACAGAACTGGAAAATGTTTCAAACGTCACCAAGTGATTCACATGAAATTGTACATTGAAAAGGATCTTCAATGTGTCCACTGCTTCCAGTAGGCAAGACTGCCACAGCAACCAGAAAATAAGTGAGCAGCTGGCAGAATACTCTTGGGATCCCAGACCCACCCTATTCTCAGACAGGGCTCAGTCAAGAAGCAAGCCAACACCAACAGCCCGATCGCAGAGCCAGAGCAATTCCACGCCTTCCGCCTGCTACCCCCACCCAACACCCAGTGCCTTCAGTACTCTGTGCAAAGGCGGGGGGTGTTTGCATGGATTTTATCGGAACCCATGATTTAATAACCTGAGCAGGTGACAGGGAGGCTGTCCTGCACTTCCTTGTCCCTATGAACTGGCCTCCCTGCAAATCAGTCTGTCTCCCCAATAACTACGACCCCACCCCCAACACTTCTCAAGTCCAGACTTAGGCCATGTCTTAAAGGCTGTTTCATCTTTTTCCTCTCATTCATTTCAGTATAGCGTGTTTCAGGTACCTAAGGGGTAAACGGGGGACTCCAAAAGTTCCTGGACATAGGGCCCCAGGGCCCGGCTTCTTCCGCGTCCTGCTGGGAGCGCCCGGCACCATTTGTTTGTGCAGGGAGAGGACAAGAAGCCCTTTCTCCCAGCTGTGCCCCTACCCACCTCCCTCTCCCACTGCAGGCTCTCCCAGCCCACTAATCTCTCCAAATCGAAGATTAAATATTCCAATATGGAAGCAGAACGACCTCCTCTAGAACAAATAATTAAAATGCTGCATCATTCATTCTCCCTCAGATCCTTTTCCAATCCGCTGTCGCCAGATGGAACGCACAATAGGGCTGTTCAGAAACAGAAAATTAGGAAAAGCTCTAGCGGCTTTGCTTCTTTCTCCCACAACAGGAGCGAGCGATCTGCTGGGGGGCGGGGGAGGGGTCGTTCTCTCTGCCACCTGGCCTATTTATCGGAGTTACTTACGATTTCTTTCCCCAGAAACGGGGGTCCGAGGGTGTGCTAGTCTCCAGGACCCCTCCTTCCACCATCGTCCTTAGACCTAACTGATCCGCTTCCGAGATGCAACCAACCCCTAGCACCTGAGGGAACCAAAGCCAGGGCGGCCGAACTCTGCTGTGATGTGCGCTGCACACCCTACAAGCGAGATGCACTGGTTTCAATTAAGCAAACTAGGAAAGGATGGCGGCGAGTACCTAGCGGAGCAGAGCGCTCACGATGTCCGTGGGTTGCAGCGAGGGGGCTTCCCAGCGCCACCGGCAAACTCTGCGAGCAGGCTCAATTGTATCCATCTTAGTGGAACCTGGTAGCTTATCCTCTTCTGGTTAGCAACTTTCCGGAAGGCTACCGGATCCCGCTTGTATTCCTTTCAAGTGCTTCCACCTCTGAGACTTGCAGGGAAATGGTCGCTGCATACCACTGGAGCTGGGCGCGCACCTAGCGCAGCGCGGCCGAGGTCTGGGGGTGGCTCCCCAGCACAGCTCGCGGTGTCCCCGATGGCGGGCACGCCGCGCGAGCGTCCCGCGTCTGCCTTCCTCGCATTGACAATCCCGGCTTGTCGATTCCCAGCGGCGAGCCTGGCTGCTCTCTCGGACTCTGCCTTCCCTGAAAGGTTGTCACTCAACAGCACACACTCCCTGCCCGAGGCCTCCTGCGATCCGGGAGATGGAAGGCGCCCCTCGCCTTCGCCAAGGGTGGCTGCGCTCTTTGCCCTTCGGGTGGGCGGTAGTGGGGGGTCGTGGTGCTGTGTGGCCCGGAGAAGAAAGGAGTGAAGAGGCGGAAAGGCGGCAGGAAGGGGGGGTGGCGGTGGGCAGTGTCTCCGATAGCAGCACTGGTCAGACCGCTAAGGTTGAGGGGTGGAGGGTGGAGTGTTGGGGGGCGGGAGGGAGGCAGGAGAGGAGACCCAAGTACAACAGTATGGCTGTACACACCGAACGCGCCTCGGGTGTGGGAGACCTCGGGCGGCGCTGCAAGGTGCAGAGATCCCGCTGGCCGCGAGCGAGCGAGCGCCCTGCCTGCACACCATCCTGACATCCTCACTTCTCCGGTCCAGGCCGGGCGGGGGGAGGGGGCGGCCGACCGGCCCAGGCCAAGGAGATGCTCGGCGGCGGCGGCGGCATCTTTTAAGACTGACCTGCTTTAAAAGTGCCACTCTGATGGCCTGAGGAAAGAACTGAAATCGGATTACACGTTACTTACCCACGTCTGCTCCTAAAACTGGGAGCGCCCGGTCGGGTATTAGGGAGGCAAGATTGGAAACGCAGGGCTGGAACCCGAATGCAAATCCATCAGCCGCCCCCAAATCGCACACCGAGGGAGCGGCGCTCAGGAGCCCCCAGATCAGCCCCCATAGCCGGAGCCTCCGCCAGCTGGGCCCCCCCCCCCCGCACCCCCGGCCCCTCCTCCGCGCCAACTGTGTAAATCAGCCGCCGCAGTCCTCTGGCCCGGCATAGCAGGCAAATCCCTGCTTAGGAAGCCAGGAAGCAAGGGATTCTCATTCTCTCTCTCTCTCTCCTTCTTCTTCTTCCCCTCTTTTCTGCTCCTCTCTCATCCCCTCTCCCTGGCTCCTGTTCTCAGTCTCTCTCTCCTCTCGCTCTCTTTCATGGGTCACAGTCTGGCAGCTCCACCAGGAGAAATCCTACAAAACCAAGCACCAGGAAGTCAGCATTCTTTCTTTCTGGATTGATTTTAACTTTTGCAAATGAGATACTGGTAGACGGCTGTTTGGAAAATTACAGCCCAAACTGGGGGATTGGGAGATCAAATTAGGAACATCTGAGCTGTATTGGTGGGCGGTCTCAGCAGCCTCCTCGCATGAGCGTTTCCAAGCATTTGCAGTAATCTCCCACCTTCATGAGGCTTCATGACAACTTGAGAGTACACGCATTTCCTCATGTGTTTACACTTGCTGGGGGTGGGGGGACAGAACTGCAGGGCGAGAGTGAAGACACTCCCTGGAAAAAGCCCCCACACCATTCGGTGACAAATTAGATAAGGGTACTTGCATCCATGACAAAGTATTATGATAACATTATAAAGGTGCCTGTTACCCTACTGCACTCATATTAATGCGATTGTTTAATGTTCCATTCAGTCTGCAGCGCAAACCAAAGCAATTCTTGTAGTGGAACCCTTTCATCAGCGATGGTGGGAAGAGAGGTCAGTCCAGCACTTCCTGTCCAGCTGAGCTGAGGAGGCCTGGCCTGGCGATCATCTCTGCATCTCTGGTTGTTCCTGACCAAAGTGAAAGTGGTCAGTGGTTCAACACAAGCCAAGGTTTGCAGTTCTAAGTGTAGACTGAGAATGAGCTTGACCCTAGTTTTGAAAACTTTCAAAGGATCTCTAGCTCACCCTTCACAAAGAAACACATTTGAATGTAAATATGAAATCTATGAAAGTCAGGCCTGAAGATGCAACTTTAGCCTTTATCTTGTGAGCTTTCTTTACTCTAAGTTATACCATTAGATTCACTAAACCAGAGAAGTGCAAACTGGTCATGGCGATAAGCAATGGCCTATGTAACATTTTTAATTTAATGTATGTACATATATATGTGTGTGTATGAATATAACGCTTATAGTGATACAATCTGTTTTTCAAAATAATTGATATTATTTAAGACAATAAGTGAGTTATTCTACAACGACATAGAAAGTGGCAAAGGTGCCATGCAATGAAGACTCTCTCTCTCTCTCTCTTTATATATATAAATTTGCAACTGCTGGCATTGATTTTAGACATATCCTCAGAATTTTCTAGGTAAATGATTCTTGCCCGTGAATTTACTCATTATGAGGACATGGATATGGAAAAATATTTGTCCTACGTGCTTCGCCACTAGGTCTCCGGATGTAGGAAATCAAAGGAGTTCATCCCTTTAACAAATCAGTGTGATTTAGAAGAAGGCAAGCGGCACCAGGAGGCTGATGAGTCACAGAAATTTTCAGGTGGTTGCTCAATTCGAGGCAAATCATCCCTGAGTACAGCATATTCTCTGTGGGCAAGTGCGAAATCACACACATGGCCCTTGAGCCTAAGTGCTAGAGACATCAGAGTCACTGGAAGAGATCAGACAACAGCGATCCTAAAATAGCTGAATTATTTCTACCTTTTCAAATATTTTCACTGTTTGTTGGTGAAAGCAACTTTGAACACACCTATGTGTGTTCTTAGCAGAAGTTGGCATGGCCTGATGGTGACGGAAGATCTCACTGTGTTGCCACCCCTGACAGCGGCCGCCTCCGACACAAACATTGAATGCCAGACAAAAGCACAGTAGGTTGACAGTCACGACTCTTTGATTTCATGTTGGGATGTTTTGGTGTTTTTGCCATGACATTTATGTCCACAGCTTTGTGTTAACAAACTATCTTTCTTGTGAAAAGGGAAAAATCTTGTAAAGAATTTTTTTTAAAATTTATGGAATAGATAAAAAGAAAATCATAGATATAGTATATAGGATATAACTTACTGTTCAACACAAAATACATCAATATTGCTGGTTTGCCTATGCAAGACATTGCAAAATGCAGTTTCTTTCCAACATTTCTGTGTTTCCCTGGAGAAACAGTGGTTTCAAATGAGCAAAGTAGGCATGTTTTTCCTGTCTACCATACATTTCCCTCATTCTTTGGAAATATTTATCATTACAATAGCAATAGATAACTGTTTATTGTGTTGTAGAAAATGTGCTGGGGAAGTTCTTAACTCTAAATGCTGTTATGTACAATATGAGCAGGTCTTCAACAAATTAAATTCACATCTCTTTAACATTTTCCCAGACATTCATGAAGCATGTCACTTTTGTTCCTTTGTCTATTCCAAATAATGTTTAGGGCAACAACAAATTGCATCTTTGATAATCATGAGAAGGCGATCTGTATCCTCTTTAGAAATACTATTGTTGAAGCAACTGGAAATAACATTTCACACAGTTGTCTAACCATAAATTAAGCCTGTTGGAGGAAGCAAATAAAAATATGGTAAATCAGTAAGTATTGTTTCACTTTTCTTCTGCTTGGAGATTTTTGGTGTTTACTGAAATTTAAAGTGCTAAACAGTAGTTCTAGATAGAGTGCTATGTACTTGCAGAATTGCAATACACATAGATTTTCCTATACATCTATTAAAGAGATATGATAGAAATATTTTATATCACATGGAAAAGTTGCGAAGCAATCTGAAACTATATTTATGTTTTTAAAAAGCTGTGGAAAATGCAGTGAATCAGCATAGATTTGTGTAACTGCATTACCATTATAACTAATAAGCTATAAATATGGAGGAGTTACAGATATCCAATTAGACATTGATCTTTAGTATCATGTTTCACTAAAACATTTCAATGTACTCTACAGATACCCACTAAATGAAAACCTCAGCTTATTTTTGAAATAAACAAGTCTTTTAATCTCAAAGGCAATTGAATAATTTTCGGACCTTAAAAATAAATCTATACACAATGAATTTTTTAAATTTGTTGGCTGAATTAGGCATAGTAAAGTATTGCCTCCTCTATTGGATACTTTAAGCTTTATTGATAGTCAAGAAATTCTAAAATGGAAATTATTGAGATTAAAAAAGTTGTGAAGTACATGAAGAGGAACCATATCAAATGCATTGTTGAAGTAAACTGATGATTGAATCGTAAGAGCAAACCACATCAACTTTACCAGGGAAGGCAGATTATTAAACATACATGACATGAGAGAAAAGAGTGAGAATAATTTTGTAGAATAAAATTTCAGGCTTAGCAGAGCCTCGGAAGGGTTGTGCAGACCAGGAGGTTCCATGATATCTGAATGTCTACGTCACGAAGTCTATAGAACTTCCACCAATCTGAGCTTTGCTGTCACGACATGGAGCGTGCTTCAAGACTGCCACTTCAAGTTTGGACAAACAGAACTGATAAAAAAAATATGTTTGTGTTAGTTTGTCTTGGTTATATCACTCGCAGACTTGCTTAAAAAATTCTAAGACGATGAGCTTTCTTTTTATGTGGGTGACAAGCATATTCCTGCCAAGACACTTACCTGTTATGTAGAAAAGCATTAATTATTCATGGTTGAAGAGACAAATTGGGGCTAGAGGAAGAGTAAATGCTAAGTTGGTAAGTGAAGCCAAGCATTTATAAATTTGATGGGAAGAATTAACTAGTGTGTTTGAATCCTATGTGTGTTTTTTTTCTAGCTCCCTACATTATTATGCAATTGTTTCATATTTATGAAAGAATGTTAAATTTGTATGTACTTGAAAGAAAAAAAGAGAGAGAAAGAGCAAGAAATTCGATTTACTAATTCATTCCTTAAATGTCTGTAACAGGTGGCCTGGTCCAGGGCATGCAGGGAACAGGAAACTGAGAAAATGCAGAAAGTGGCTCTTGGAATTGGGATTGCTAGTGGGATTCAGATCCAGGAACTGTAATGGAGAGTGTGGGCAGTCAGGGTCTTAACAGCCATGAAAAGCTTCTGAGTTGGAGGGCTGGTTCCAGACCTGGCTGCTGGGCTGTGAAAGCAGAGCAGGACAGCCCAAGCACTGTCCCTGGGAGACTCCGAGGGAGTTCCAGCCTCTTAGCTTCTGTGGGTATTTGATGAGTGATCCAGAAGGCAAAAGGTGTCTTCATTGCTCTTGCTGTTCCTCTCTCTTTTTCACTCTTTTGCTCAAACAAGTAAATGCATACTTGAAAATAAGAATAAAAATAGATCTCTATGACATAATAGAGAATTAGTACTGGTAAGAGCTAAAATGTCAGAGGGCCAGAATCATGAAAGCATATTTATAAATTCAAAGTTCTATTTTTTCTTTTACATTTTTCAGTTATTTAAGAACACAAATGTAGAATGAGTTTTAGGTTCAATTATTTATTTGGAAAGTAGAGAGAGAGAGAGAGACAGTGAATGCTTCTGATGGCTCATTCCCTTCCAACAGGCTGCAGGATGTGTGGCAGAGCCACACTGAAGCCAGGGCTGGTAGCTGCTTCCAGATATCCCATGTGGCTGTAGAGGCCGAAGCACAGATTTCTCCCTCTGCCTTACCTGATGTCTTATCAAGGCACAGGATCAAAACCGCAGCAGCTGATAAAAGAACATGCACCCCCATGGAATGCCCATGCTGAAGATGTTGGCTCAGTCCACTATGCTTAGTACCTACCTCTGAAATGGATGCTTTTAAATGACGCTGGTTTTAGTAAAGAATTTAATGAGAAGTTTTAATGCCCTCCCAGCGATGGGGTAAGATAAAGGATTTCAACGTGCTTACAGACTAAAATTCACA